GGATTACAAAGTTATTCTGATGAAAATTCCAAGGGGAACTCAGATAATTCAGAGGATAAAACCAAAAAAACATCCAAAACTCCACCACTTCAAGTAAATTCTGACAAGTTTCAAAGCAATGCCGTCAAGAATTGTAATTCTGAAAAAATCATAGAGAATTGTGATAAGAATTCTATAAAAATCTGAACTCATCTTCAAGAGTCGATTTTAATAGAATCCTGAATAGAATTTAATTTGTTCAACAGCGGCAAAGAGAGGTTATTTAGCAGAGTGTTTTGAGTTTAATTTGATTGAAATTTAAACTCACAGCAATTTAAACAGTTTAAAGTTGATTCTATCCGTAGTGACTATTATGAAATTACAAAATAAATTAAGTGTATTTGAAATCTTTGGTGAGTCCACCAACATACATTCCACAGATTGAAAGCATTCTAATTTAAAATATAATTTTGAACTAATTTCATAATATAGAAAGTCAAATGCTTTTTCTATGTCTAGAAGAGCAACTCCAGTTGAGCAGCATTCCAATTTATTTGAACGAATGGTGAAATCCAAACTGCTCATCTGCAAAAGTTGAGTTCGTATTGATGTGAAGCATCATTCTATTAAAAATCATCTTTTCAAAAAGTTTAGTGGCAGTGGTTGCTAGATGCTTCAGCAATAAAATTAACATTTAGCGGTAACTATGCGTGAGCTGTAAATTGCAGAAATTCATATGAAATTCATATGAAAAAATTCAAATTTATGGACGTGGGTGGATTTCAGTCTCACACAGTCATCCATGCTACGGCTTATCATTTTGCTTCAGCAGTTTTTTGACGAATGACTGATATTCGATTTCGCCGACATCTTCCATTACCTTCATTATATCAGCCCCACGAACCGGAGGAAATGAGTTTCAATTCAAATGCGACCGTCGTACTCGACGAAGCAGTACCGTATTGAAGGTGGGCTCAAGCCAGGGCTCTCAATTTGGAAGGGGCCCCCAACTCAGAGACATCAATCATATTTTCAAAACATCAAAGATCAGTGATTTCCAAAAAAAAAACAGGCCTACTTAAAAAAATACCCAAAATGGTTAGTTGGATTTGCATTTTGAAATTCCCAGTTTTTCTCGGTTTTTGGTTCGGATTTAAGAAAATTTCCAAGATTGGTTTCGACTGAGAGAATATTGAACACGTAGGATCTTGAAAAAAAAAAATCAAGATCCCAGATTTCCCTCCTGAATTTTTTTCTAGGCCTTTTAACTTGAAAGAATTTTCAGGGATCTAGCAATTTAATGATTTTCTATAGAATTCTCATTCAAAGTGTTTTTATGTTACTTCATACGCGAAGTTAACGATTTTCAGAGTTGGTTGGAAATGCTAACATGAAGCTTTAGTGTGATGATTTATTAGCTAGAGAATGATCTTTTAGAAGAGAGTAGGTGGATAGTTCCGCTAGAGTACGGCAGTATGAAAATTGAATAGAAGTTGAAAATGAGCGAAGGGCCATTAATGCGACAGTTTTTAAAGATAGACGCACATTTTTGCCTAACCCGTACGATGTACGCGGGGACTTGAAGTATGTCTCCAAGTCCACAGGCAAAAATGTGCATCCCTCTTTTTGCCTGTGGACTTGGAGACATACTTCAAGTCCCCGCGTACATCGTACGGGTTAGGCAAAAATGTGCGTCTATCTTTAAAAACTGTCGCATTAATGGCCCTTCGCTCATTTTCAACTTCTATTCAATTTTCATACTGCCGTACTCTAGCGGAACTATCCACCTACCCTCTTCTAAAAGATCATTCTCTAGCTAATAAATCATCACACTAAAGCTTCATGTTAGCATTTCCAACCAACTCCATAGAATTCTGCCAAGCATACCTATGGAAATTGTAAATAGGGAAAATTTAAAAAGATTTTAAGTTTTGACTCAAAGAAAACACTGCTGACAATTCCTAAAAAATCCATGGACAAATTCTAATGAAGCTCTGACAAGGCTTGGTAGCTCAGTGGTTACCGTTTCTGCTTAAAGTCTGGAACGAGCAAAAATTGGTCAACTTCAAATCGGTGTATTTCTGTTTAAAATGCATAAAAAACTAAAAATGCTGCATTTGGAAGTTGAGTGTATATACAATGGTTGCTATGATGAGTTTTCACCGTTTACTCTCCAGCTTTCAAAATGACGTTCAAGCAAGAGGAGCAGCGTGTCAAAATTTTGCTCGCGCAGCAAGAGAATCCGACGTTCTCACACGCCAAGTTGGCAAAATTGCTGGATGTAGCCAAATCGACCGTGACAAACGTTTTAAAAGTGTTCGGGGGAGACCCCCGGAAAGCCTAGAAGCGACGGCAATCGTAATTCGGACGTGGCAGCGACGACGAAGAAAGTGGCGGTGTAATATAAGCGGAATCCCAACCTCTTCATCCGGGACGTCGCTGGCAAGCTAAATGTCTCCCATACTACTGGGCAGCGGGCCAAGAAACAAGCCGGGTTGTCGACGTTTAAGAAGGTGAAGGTGTCGAACCGAAATTTCAAACACATCACGTCGGCAAAGCAGCGGTTCCGAAAGCTGAATACGAATCTTTACTGTGTCGTCATGGACGACGGAACTTATGTGAAGGTGGATTTCAAGCAGCATCCGGGACAGGATCTTTATACCACATCAGGAAAAGGGAAGGTGGCTGAAATTTTCAAAACCAGCAAACTATCCAAGTTCCCGAAAAAATATCTCGTCTGGCAGGCTATACACTGAAAATGTATTTTCGTTATTTCTCTGAAAACCGTTTCGTAAAAATGAATATCGTACATACAAGTTGATACAACATATCTTTCATAAATGGTACGAAACATTCGTTTTTCCTGTCATATGGCGCAATGTCAATATTACGCCTTATTCGTATAATATACAAATACATCTTCGTACAATCAAACCAACAACTGCGCTTATCTCGCTTGTCTCCTAAAGTGCTGATTGTGTGTTGGGGATGGGACATTTCTCATAGCACAGTTAGAGCGCTGGATAAAACACAGATCTGACGATTGCAAGGTTTATGAGTTGAATCCGGTCTGAAGCTTATTTTTATTTTTTTTGTCATATTTATTCCTTCCAATGATGAAGTTATTTTTACCCATCCTCACTAACACACTCCACATTTTTCGGTTTCCACAACCAACACGGTGTAGCGATAGCGAGTATGGCAGTTCTAACGAAACTAGCTTCATACAATGTACAAATCGAGACCAGTGTATGCACGTGTGGTCTAAAAAGTGGAAACCATCAATCAAGAGGTCTACGTCCAGGAGTGCCTGGAAAAGCGTCTGCTACCATTCCTAAAGCAACATAAAAGACCGGTGCTGTTCTGGCCTGACTTGGCGAGCTGAAAAAGGCAATCGAGTGGTACGATGCGAACAACGTGGTTGTAGTACCCAAAGACCACAACCCTCCCAACATCTAAGAACTCCACCATATCGAACGGTATTGGGCCTTGGTCAAACGGAATCTCAGAAAAACTAATAAATCCATGGAAAACGAGCGGCAGTTTAAATCTAACTGGCGTTCGGCGACGAATGAGGTCGATGAGACCACTGTGCAAAATTCAATGGAAGGGGTTCGGATTTGGCAAACCAAAAGAACAAACGTACTTTTTTCCTTTAAATATATGAATTGAACTACTAAAAGAAAAAGAAAAAAACATTTTTGTGATATGAATTATGACTGAAAGAAACGATTTTTTTGTCGACCAATTTTTGCGCGTTCTTCTATCATGTTTCAAAGTGTCACTATTGAAAATTGCACGAATGTGCAACTGTTGCTTTGATAATTAAAATTATCAACGATTGCATGCGAAAAGCGATTTCCCTATCACAGATTTCAAAGTTGAATTACATCTGATCTCACCAAACGGTGTTTATTCAATCACCGCGTGGTGAGTGGTGGTGTTCTCCAATACACAACGAGCTGCAACCCACATGAGCATCCATAGAAGGAAGAAGAAACCGCACCGCTATTGATCAGAATCAGTAGCTCTTCGTGAGTCGTTGTGGGCTATCTATGTCAAACGCGTCATGCATTAATTATGAACAAGGTTTTTCGCAGCGGCGCCAGTGGTGTAGTGGTAAGCGTGATTGCCTCTCACCCCAAAAGGCCTGGGTTCAGTCACAGTCGGCGCCGCCGAGATGTTCTGAGGCATAGAATTTCTAATCACGCTGTTGGGAAGTAAAGCCTTCCTGGCGTCGGTAGCATTGAGCACCAAAATAAGATCGACGGTTAAACAAACCAAAGGAAAAACAAAATAAAGTTTTTCGCATGTATTTTTATAGAATGTTTACTAGAATTTAAAAATATATAACAAATCACAGGGCCTCCGCAACAAAAAATAGACCAGGGTCCCCAAGGATGGTAAAAACGGCCCTGCAACGGAGCATACTTACCAACAATTGCCTATCGTTTTGCTGCTCCACGGCGTAAAGACCAACAAATCTACAATCTGTCCTCTTGAATTGAATTATTGTTTACTTTTGAGTGACGCGACGATGGCGGTGTCACTGGGAAATTCGTTTTTCCATTTTCTTTGTATTTATGAAAGGGGGGGGGGGAGGTTAACAAGTAACCGCACAAATTTAACAAATACAATCACGCTTACTTACCTACCTTGAAAAACACATTAGAGAAAGAGCACTAGAGAGAACGAGCGAGGCGAGAACCAGAGTAATTCGAGTGGAAATCCATCAACTTGGAAATGGAATGAGTGCTTTGAACCGTAATCGTGACATTCGGATCCAACTTGGATGACACTTTTATCTCAGTGGAGCAGTGGCACTGTTTGCGGTTCACTTTAATTAACGAAAAGGTCCTCCGGGGTGACATTCGACAGCTGAGCAGTCATGCAATTAATCTTGAATGTGGGCCTGATTCATCCTTCTTCACCTAGCATGATTTCCCATCCTTTACACTTCTCATGAACTGCGATTAACTGACGACGTTCTCATCCTTCTTTGTCTCCATCTCCATTTGCAGGCACAACAGGGGCAAAGCAGCAGGTCGTTGCGTACACCGAAAAGTCGCAGGATAAGCATGAGTCACGTCACATTCAGCTGGTGCGGGAGTACGGCTTCCATCCCCGGTCCAAGGTGCAGGTCGAGGACGGGGCCGTGCTGCCACGGAAGTTCGAACCATTTCCGAACGACATGTATGGGCGCCCGCTGGAGGAAATCGATAACTTCATCTACGAAGAGGTGAGTTCCCAAAGTGACAGTGTACTCGAAGGTTGCTCGAATTTGTATGTGTTGATGACAGGTTATTAGAATCCCTATTCAAAGTTCTCGGAACCCCAACTGAGTTTGGAAAAAGCGAAAGCAATCAGATAAATTGTATTTCTTTATCGGTTTTCGTGGCAAAACTTTCCTAATTTTCATTCCGTTGCGTAATGTTTATCGAGTTTATTTATGGAACACCAAAAATAGAAAATGATTAAAGGGTTGTCCACAAACTACGTGGAACGATTAAAATTTAAATGAATGTTGTGGGCTCAAGAACTTTTCACGTCGTTTGTAGACAGCCTCTAACCCCATGCGATTGCCAACGTGAAACGAAAATAGACCTCCTCGGTTGCAGAGTAAACAAACGAAAAGCATGAACATTGGCGGGGTTCTTCATGCTCGCTTATGTTGCCGTTACGGGAAAAGGTGCATGGAACCGGAGGGAATCCGATGCCATAAATCATCCTACTAGTACCTATAGTCAATTGTTCAGTGACGCAAATCGTCGTCAGTTGTGCAGGGTCCGAAATTATGTGCCTCGACGGCACTCCATGAAGAGGAAAATTAGGCAGGTGGAGCAAGATTTTCTGTTTTCGAATGATTAATTGTAAAACAACTTAGATGGCAGGTGGCGGCTAATTATTCATTCGATGGTTGTTGCGATAAATCATATAATTCGCTTCGAGCGGTTGGAAACAATCTGAAGGCATTCCATATTTTTGTGGATTGTAGCACTAGTTACCAGTTGAACATAATTAGTCAAAGTAAGAAACGAAAAAGTGGAGCAAGATACCAGACATGTCGGAAACCGAAGCTGAAATCCCACACACTAAGGGACCATCGTTCCATGTTTGCAGTGCAGTCAATAGTGTAGATTGGCCAGGCTCCAATCGCATAGTGCTATCATCATCGTCCATACGTTCCATGTGTAGGACCAGGCACTCAGATGGATGACATGCGCATATTTTCGCTCCTAGTTCCTCATGCCCCCAAACCTTTCCAAAGAGGATTTAGCGTGTTCGGTAAACACACATCGCATTTATGTTGCATGCTTTCACACATGTTGGTTCCCTCCGGATGTTTGCGGTCCTTGGCTCGATGGGTGGTCTTAGTTAAATACGTTGCAATAGAGTTTTCGGTCACTGTGGTTATAGCTTAGGTTTACCGGCCATGTACCGCTACCAGCTAGTGGACGTTGAATGAAAATTTGAAAATATTGAGATGTTCCACGCCAAATGATGTTTCGATCAGACTCGACCTACTTCAATTTGCATGAAACTTTACTAAGATTAGCCCATTTTGGATGATTTTCATCGTCATCCTCATAGCTCATCACCTATAAATATAGTCGTATCATGAGGGCCAGCCATTTCAAGAAGCTATTTTACGGAGCTGTTCACACAACGGTAGATAGTGCAGTTTCTTGACAGTTCAGCATTCGCGATGTCAGTATGAAGCCACGTTTCTGTCAAAACCACGACGTCAAAATCACAAGAAAGCAGCGAATGGAGCAGAGCATTCGTTTTAGTCCTCAAACTACGGAGTCAGAGACGGTCAAATGAGCACGACTGTTGGACCACTTCCATTAGATTAAAGCGCAGAGCTGGCTGACCCATAAAAATGACTAGCTGACCCATAATACTGGGATGACTGTAATTAATAGACTGAAAAAGAAAGAGGTTGTATCCAAGACACGACTCTAAATTTGACGTAGGATTACGTGCTCGGTATCAATATTCGGCGACTGTGTTAGGGAAACCACTTGTTTGCAGGCAATCGGTGATAATTTTGATCACCATGTGACCAAGACATGTGTGTAATTTTCAATAGTAACCTATTGAAAATTGATATAATGTTTAATTCAGGAGACGTGTAGAAAAATTTCCAATCAATTGGCATATTTGAAATAAAAATCCATCGGTTATTGACAGAGTTATAAGTGGTCAAAACTTAACCACTTTTCGTAACGCGAAAACTACATACAAAGAACAAGAAGTTTGAAATTTGAAAAATTCCTGAGAAGTGGTAAAATAGATTGCTCTACAGAGATCTCTGAACTTATAGAAAATATACTGAAGTTCAAAAAAATTCACTGAAGTTCTATGAAGTTCACTGAATTTCTACAAAGTTTGCTGGACTTCTAGAAAGTTTTCTTCCTTTGCTGGCTAATTCTCCGGGGGTATCCAGAATATATCCCTGGTGAGATCAATGTTGTTTTGGACACTCAATATGACCACCATTGACCTTATTTTAGAGTTTTCATGTGTTTTGATATAAAACATGATGTATTTGGCTCGTTTCAGTTCGCTTCTAGACTTTAGGCCCGTATTCAGTGAAACTTGTGCCGCGGATATCAGCGGAACCAGTTGTCCGATTCCAAAAATTTTAAATGGCGATCTGTGGGACCTGAATTGTTTCGTTAAATTTGGTTCAGTGGTTGCTGAGAAATAAACCGTTTTTAATTCCTAGCCCACACAGATACATTTTCCGATCCCGTTGAGCTGAGTCAATTGGAATATGACACTCAGTGTTTAGAAATTTTGAACCCCCTCTGGCCCAATAATTTCTTTTGCAATTTCCATGTATGTATCCTCCTTTGGTCCATTATACCGATGCTAAATTATTTTTAACTGCCAATCCCCACCCCCTTTTGCAGAAGCTCATGTTGTACGTTCGGTTTATTACCCTACGAAGCACACGGCATATTTATCTGTATTTCGTGCCTCGTTGTGTCGTGCGGTAACTCAGCTTCGAGAAATAAAAATCGAAAGCTCACGCACAGCTATTTCAGCCATACGTTTTGAATGGACAATTTCCAGCCGGCCGAGTGCACCAATGGGAGGGGCAATGAAGCCAGCCAAACCTCCCCAGTTCGCATGAAATTCTACATGACTAACCGTCCAACCGATAAAATAGCAATTTGCCAACGATTCAACGAATGGCGAATCAAGAATAAAAAACAAAAGTGCCAGGATTGCTTTCTTCTTCGCCGTGCGACTCTCCAAACACAATTACAGTTAAACCCGCAAAGTCGACATCATCGTCGACGACGACGACGACGACAACGACGACGGCTATAGCAAATTTGAAAGTTAAATTAATTTTTCGAATTTTGCTACCCGCGTCGAATGCTCCAACAGCTGAAACGCGCCGGTCGGTAGCGGCCCATGTCACGAACAGACCCCCACCACCCTGAACCCCTTAATGCCATCGACGCTACCCCTACCTACATACAGGAATCCCCCGAAAAGCACGGTGGGTGGTGCAGTCCACACATCGCTATTTCTCGGCTGTCCTACAACCGATTGAGTTTAATTTTGTTACCACCCACCGCGCAATTCAAGGGATTCCTGTGGCTATCGCGAAGAAAGGAAAAAGCAGTTAGGGAAAATCGTTGCCCGTGGGAAAATCGATAACGTGCGTTCCTGGTGAGTGTGAGAGTGTGCTTTCGCAGCGAAAGGGGCAACTAATAATAGCTTGTGGCGAATGGGAGAATGAAATGAAGGTTGTGAAAATCAGAAAAAGGCCTCCTAACTAGCCTCGGGCACGAAAGCTAGGGTTTTGGTTGGAAGATTTCCTCAGACTTGGGTAGGCTTGAAGGAGATCGCAAACGCCTAATGGAGGGAAATGATTCCGAAGTGCCAATGTTGCCACTGTCCGGATGCACAAATATGTTTGAATGGCTTTGGGTATTTAGAGTAGATAAACATTTGCTATGCCTGTGGTTTTAAGAATGGATGACTTGATGCCATTAATAATATGGAAGTTAAACGATGTTAATAATGGATTGCTTTGCCTCTTCAAACAAATCAATTTACGCGTGGGTTTGAATAGAAAATGGTTTTCGTAATATTGAAACGATGAAATGCTCCTTAAACCTTGGTAAAACGCACCTGTGCTGCGTAGCTACTCAGATTGACTGTCCTACCTGTGTTTTTGTTTAGTCAGAGGAGTGAATCGCCGGGCCAGTGGCTTAAATAGGCTTCTAGATGATTCTTAAGTAAACGCTTCTTTAAAAGGCTTTTAAAGAAGATTCTAACAGAAGCTTCTTTTGGAAGCTTGCTCGTTGCTCCTCTCCTCTGACTAAAAAAACTACGTGATGTACATGAGAGGACGTTAGTAGTTTGGTATCATTTTTTCAAAGTTTAAAGAGCATTTCATCTTTTTTTTATATTTGTAATTTTGTTGTTTATAAGATCAAACGTATACACTAAAGCATGCACAAGCTAAACAAATTTCTCTTACATCCAATGTAAGGTTGGATTTATTACATTCTGCATATGTTTCATATAACAAATTCAATGATCTACAGTGTACAATAGAGTGTTTCAAAATAGGTCAAATCTGGGATTTCAAACGCTACCCTCTGGAATGGTAGTTTTGGGGGTCAGAAACACCCTGCCAAAATTTGAAGTGATTTGGTTCACGGGAACCCCCATATAACGCTGAAACACTTTAGTGTACAAGCAAGCTTTTCCAGGATATATAATTGTGTACTCTCACGGGATGATTTCCTAGACGCCATGCATTTGGGGAAACAAATTTTGTTCGAAAATAAGCTAACATATACATTTTCTACATAACGGATTTAGCATTCCCCTATATCAAGAATTTCTCCTCAGAATTATCCTGTAAAATCCCTAGGAAATCTATTCAGGATTCCTTAAATATTTGCCTATAAATCACTTGTAGCTCTCTCCAATGTTTTTAAGTACGCCTCCATAGCTCTATTGCAATTCTCCAGAAAATTTCCAATTAACTATAAACAGTATTTTCTAAGTGTTATCAAAAAAAAATATAATAGAATTCTTAAATTCCCTTGACATGATCCCAACTATGAACCACTCCACCATTGAGCCGTTTATTGGATTTTCTTATTTACAGATGGAACAAGTCTAGGTAATTTTGACCGTGGAAAAATGATGACCTGGGTCTTTGCCACGTTGATACGGATCTTTCAGTTGTTTAAATACTCA